ACTTGAACTGGCATTCGTCAGGGGATTTTGCCAATAACATCTAATAAAGCTGGTTGAAATGGATACAAGGAGTCAGCTAAATCTTGCCTGCAGTCACTCTAAGGTGCACAGGGAACTTGAGCCTCAAAGATGTGATGCATTAGTTCTGCTAAGCTAACCATGAATGCTAATTGCAGGAAGGACAAACTGTAACCCTTGCCCTGTGGCCATGAACCCATTAAACAGTACAGAGGGTTTCATAGATGCAAGGAGTGCACAGAGAGGCTGGATTGAAAAGGCCTGCAATCAGATTCTGGTTTAAATGGGGGGAAACAAGCGCACGTTTCCCTTGGGATCTGCCCTCTCCATATTGTTTGACTATATAAAGACAATTTCCTGTCAATCTAAAGCTGAGAGCAAATCTTTGGTATAACAGGTTTTACATTTTCAAGTAGGATATGCTATGTGATGTAAAGGACTTATCTTTAATTCTCACAGAGCACGACAGGTAGCTGTCTGTAGGATATGGATCAGTGTTTAAGTGCTTGTGGTTTCACCCCTGGAGGAACTTAATAAACCAGTCATGGTACTATATGACACCCTATACATAGGAAAGGTGTCCTTTGTCAGTAGCAACCCTCAGGTATTGTCTCTCACTTTTAAACATCTGTATACCTAAAATAAATCAGTTGTTCAGAGTAGAGCGGTTTCCATTTCCATTTCTGGGCAAACAGAAGTCACAAGCAAGACTTTACTTTTCTGTGGGTTTTCACCTTTAGTCTCTGCAGCTCTGGTGACCCTTGGCCATACATCATTCAAACACGACCCCAGATGCACCGACTCTCCCGTCTTTATATATACATTCATCAGCTTGACAGGTGACATTAGAGCTCATCTGAGCACTGATTTTTTTCCCCTTTAAAGCACCAGTTTTTACAGTTTACCTTTTGAAGAGAATGTTTACTGTGAAATCTTGATGCCGTCTTTCAGGGAAGCCTACTGATAAATTTGCCTCAAAGTCGAACATTAGTTTGGCAAACAGAAGTACTGGACACATTGAAATGTGACCTGATAATGGTGCTAGATGAAAAGCTGTGGGGTTGCCAAAGTGATTACTAATCATCCTCGGGGGAACATCAATGTCTTCACCAAATTTCACAGCAATTCACTTAGATGTTTCAGTCTGGACCAACCAGACAATACTAAAATGAAGTACAAATTCATTCCACTTTCATAAATTTGCAGACCTAATTGTTAAACATCAGTGCCACATGATTCATTAGCAAATGATTAATCTATGGCAAAAAGCCCAAAAGCCAAAAAAAAAACCTCAAGCCAAAAATCTGTGACCCTCTTGTCACTCCCAGACTTTTGATTTACTATAGCCCAGCTCCCAGGTGAGCTTCTCCTTCACTCTTCAGCCCCATGGTGCCTGGCCTGTAAAGAGATGGATGGTTGCGAGTGTGAAACCAAATGGGTTATATGGCCTTGAGCTTTAGCGTCTAATTAGGCTCTAATGTAACTACACTGGAGAGGAGATGTTGTCTTGCCCATCAAAGCTCTTTAAAAGCCTCCCCAGGGCAGTGGCAGCTCGGAGTGAGGTGTTGTGGCGAGCCATGTCCAAGTCAGAGGCTCAGGTTTCATTTCCAAGCTGGGATGTACCAGCAATGAGACAAACTGAAAGGTGTACATCTCCAAATTGTCACCACCTCAAATAAACCAGAAACATGGGGCTGTTTTAAACAATAAGACAAAACAACTCAAATATTAATATGTGGCGATGTGGGTTGCCAGGTTGTGAAAAGTCAGTGCCCACAACCATAAGTTGCTGCCTTTTTTAGCAATGGAGCATTTGACCACTTACCCTCTGGAAAGAGCTGCAAAGCATCAGAACCACTGAAGCAATGTCAATATAAAAAAATGAATAAATACATTTCACAAACTCAGACTTTTGGTTAATTATAACATGAGAAAACTTCAACAGGGTTTCTGTCAGGCAGTTATCAGGGGTAGTAAACATCCTTAGAAAGTGGAACACACAAATCTTAAACCCTTTATACATACAGTAGTTGACCTTCTCCATAAGACAACTTTCCTTAAAAAAAAATAAAATAAATTTTTAAAAGTTGTGATCCATGTCTCAAAGAGCTGCTAAACCTTGTATCAATGAAAATCAACTTTCCCACAATGTTAAAGTAAGCATGTTCCAACCTGATTAGAAAGCCTTGCTGTGACATGAAATGTGTGATTTATTACCTGAAATCGTGAAGTTACTCAAAGGAAGGAAGTGCTCTATAGTATGTGACAGTGAAACTGAAGACAAACCAGAATGCTGTCAATATTTTCCTGAAGCATCATGTGATTTCCCCATTTCTCCACAGCTCATGAAGGACGTTGTCATCAGCTTGATATAATATTAGAAACCATTCTTGAGAGATAAGGTGTCTGGTTGAAGGTCATCTGTGCCCTCTTGAGTGAACATAAGAGCCCTTGTGGTTGGGTTAAATGCACCTGACAGGCTGTTGGAGCACAACCACCCATTTTAATTGTCGTGTAATGGTTTCGTGTAGAGCCAAACTGTCTGCAACACTTCAGCGGTTGGAAACCAGAGCCTGGCCACACAACCACAGATGTGGTTAACTGCTGGGGAAAAAAAAAACTGGAGAGAGCTCTGGTGAGACAGGCTTAAAGTAAGATGCTTATAGATAATGCAGCAGATTTATCTGCTGCAATTTGTTAAAATACAGACCTTAAATCTCTTATGGTACTGAAGGAAAAGGGGCTACATTTGAAACTCTGTGCACACTGGATTATAAACTTGCTTTAATGCACCTAACATTTTGGCTGCTAAATTACTTTTTCTTATAACATGGCTAACCAATATAGACAAGAAAACTTTAACAGTTTTAATGCACACTCAAGAACTCAATTTTCCTATTTAGAGGAAGCCAAAGATGACAGGAAACAGGGTAATTCACTGTAGCCCCAACAACAAACCCTGGCCATTCTCTGTCTGTAATTATGTCCCAAAATGAATGCCATTTCATATTAAGCTGCTGTTGTAAACCAATGTCAAAGACTGAGTCATTATCAGCAATCAAAGGAATTAGTTACATAATTTAACCAAACCGAACTAATCATTTCCAGGATACTGCACAAGCAGATAGAGCCATTAGAAAAAAAAAAAAATTGGAGCTCTTAAATAGAATAATTGTCATCTATATCTTCTCTGCTGCTTTGGCTGAAGGGCTTCAGAAATTGCATTAGCTGCAATTGAAAATCTGAACTGAGGGAAAGACACCACTTAGACTTTTGCGGGGCGCTGCTGTGTTCACTGCAGTCTGTGTTGTATCCGACCCCGTCACCAGTGTAACAGCTTGCAAAACAGCAGCAGATAAATTAAGTGTTAATGAAGAAAACAGAATTAGCACACTGAAATGTCTCTATCACCCTTTATCTTCCAGATCAATAAAATGAGTAGGATGTTCCATGATGAGATGTTCTTCTCTGTATACATTTCTCAGTTACTAAGTTAAAAACAAACCCACAGCAAAACCATAAAAATGGAGCACTCAGGTTTGCAGTGTGCTTCAGCCCATAAACACCTGAATTTACCGCCCAGGGTACTTGTTTTATGATGTAATTATCAAAAATAATAAAGTTAGAACTGAGCCTCGTGATAACTTTTAGTTGGAAACTTTCCCCCTGTATAGCAGACACAACCTAGTCGGTTTAGTGGTTTTCTTCTAATTTCTCAAAAGTAATAAAGTAGGATCCCAGTTTAGGCTGCAGATTTCTGATGTCTATCAGCACAGGTCACTGTCTGGGGGCAAGTGCAGCCGTCGGCAATACGAGTGGATCATTGCTCTCCTTCAACAGAATCAAGACAACCTCTTCTGCACCGAGACATTCCTGGCATTTTTCAGGTAGTACACGTGACACATGTTAAGGGTATGAACTGACTTTATGCTATTGGTCAAAATGTTTAATGCTACTGTGTCAAACTTATGACTGCATAAAAAAAGAAGCAAAGAAAGGATAGCTACGGTGTGATGTTAAACTATAACTCCATCTGGAGAGTCAGCAAAAATTATCGAAATCAGGTCATGTTTAGTGACTAAAAATAACCAAGCAAAAAATGTAATGTGTGCATATAAAATCAGTTTTATTAAAGGAGAACAGCAGTAGTAGATAGGCTGAAGATAAATGAACATATTTAACAAGAGCCAGAAAAGAAAAGATTAACAAGCATTACTTAGAGGAAAGAAAGACTGGTATCTGAATGGAAAGAAATGAGAGGAAACAATGCGGTAATGAATGATACACTGGATGCCTGCAGATAACCCAAATGTGAGAAAGGCTTCCTACACAGGTGGACTTAGGTTGACCTGTAAACCAAGACAGGAGAGAACAGATTCACCGAACCGAGGCATGGACACAAGTGACATCCTACTCACTAAATACTACCATTTCATAGTGTTTGAGGTTAAAACAGAAACTGAGGTGAACTCGCCCAAATCAGTGACTATCAATAAAGCAGAAAATTACTCCAAACTAATCTTTTGAAGCCTATGTAAATCTAACATCTAGAGTAGGGCTTGCATGACCATGGCAATAATCATAATCATGATTAATTTTGTCAATATTGAGATCACGGTTACTTGAAAACATCATGCTAAATGTAAAAAAATAAAAAAAATAAACTGTGTGGCTTCTTCAACTTTAAATATGATTTAACTGTAAAACAAACATTTTTATCTACTCAACTGTGATTGACAGTTCAGTGGAAAATACTCAACTCTGTATTGATTTTTACAAATAAAACTAACAATAGCCTATTGTGTGTCATAACCTAAATAATCTCACTACGACACAGACATACATTCTCCTTTTCCTCTTGTTTAACAGTTTTAGCTTGTTCATAACCAACATAAGCTTGATGGAGTGCAAGCAAGGCAGAAACTGTCAGTTCTCTGGAGGTTTATGCTTGTTTAGCAGGTGTTATGATAGAGGACTCTTACTGATTGTTTATTGTGGAGGTTTTATTGCACATACAGTAACAAATTTAGGTGTTGCCATCCTTAGTAATGTTTCACGTCAACCAATGAGAGCAAAAAATGCTGGCACTGTAGAGGACTGAAGGGGTGTGCCGGATTTATAACATGACACACAACGGGAGCATCATTACCAAATGGAAATTATTTTAGCTAGATTATTTTGTTTCCATAATCTTTGGAAGCCAAAATTGTAGCTGAAAATAAAGTTTGATTAACTGCCCAGCCCAGATCCACAGTTAAAACTGAACACAGTTGTCTTCAATTAAACACCGAGTATTTTGTTCACTCTCACTGATATACAAGGAGAACAAAAAGTATTATAATCACATTTAAATATAATACAAGTCAACATATACACAAACAGCTGCAAAACTTACCACCTGAAAATCACCACCTCCTTAGTGCCACCAAAAATTGTTGCTCCTACTTTCACAAAGGTAGTGTTTATGACAAGGTCAGTGAGGCGGATTGCATTACACTGGAAAGCAGGTTTCTATTTGTCTGGTCACTGAGTGTATATTTACAACAGCACAGATAACCGGGTGGAGGATTTTGAAGTCCTCATCTATCTTTCAACTGTCGGATATTGAAAAGTGGATGGAGAGAGATACAGATCAGCATATGGGGCAGCTGGATGTGCTCTCTGTAAATGCAGCTGCTCACAGATTTGGTGAATAACTGACATACAGAGGACACTAAGGCGAGGAAGACTCACTTGGGCTTGGTCTCGGCATCTGTGACTTGGCGGATGAAGATGGCGTCTTCTGGGTGGCTGATGTCTCCTTTCTCGTGCATATAGGAGGAAGCGATGGCGAGCATGGTACCATCGTTATTGAATGCAAGTGAGGCAATGCTGGTCGGGTACCGGTGGAACTGACACAGGCGCTTCTTGTTGAATGGGTCCCAGATGTTCACAAAGCCATCTGAGCCACCTGGTTGAAGGAGAGACTCAAGGTCAACCTCAGAAGACTTAGGACATGTTACTGCCTGTGTTACAGCAGTTTGTACATACATAATTGCACATTTGACTGTTGACTACTGCACATGCAGCTCCCATGTACCATACATTCTCTTATTGTATTCTTATATATTTTTATTATATTGCTGCATTTGCTGCTTAAAGTGCCTTAGATTTTGTGTTACTTATTCATCTACTTTATATTTCATTTTTATTGTGTGGCATTCATGTGGACAGTAAAGTAAGAATTTCATTGTACAGGGAAACACGTTTCCTAACTGTGCATATGACAAATAAACACTTTTGACTTTTCTTGCTGAAATATGGATCTATAATAACTGTGCTCCACATGCAACCTTGGAAGCTCAGTGCTAAAGGTTACAGCTTTGTAAAAATAAATCGCCTCATTATAGAAAAACTAAAAGTAGGAAGACAAATATGTGCATTATCAAGTACTAACTAGCCAATCATACCTGTGGCGAATGTGTTATGAACACTGTGAAAAGAGATGGCATTGACAGGGTAAACATGCTCAATTCCATCCTCCTTCAGTCTGTGGCACTTGAAGGCATACTTCTTCTTCTGAACCTCCTGGCTCGGGTCCAGGTACTCCACAGCTACACGTCCCTCGATTGAACTCAAGACATAGCCCTGGAGCCAAGGCCGAAAATGAGACGTTATCATCCAACTTCTTCACATTAACACAGGAATCCAGCTCTGTAGCATGATTCCCCTTTTAGGAGCAAATTATCTGTCAAGTTATAACTGATGTCTGTATCTTTCATTAGAACTGTGTGCAATTTGATAAGAAGTGGATGCTGAATCAACATAGTTCAAAGTGTACCTGTTTGTTTGGGAAGGCCCTAATGCAGCGAGTCTGATACTTGAGACTGGACTCTCTTCTTTGCTGTACATAGCCCATGTTCCTCAAATCCCACACCAGGACCCGTCTTCCAGCTGTGCCAACAATCAGCCTATCTCCAGCCACAGAAAGGGTGTACACCTTTGATATAGACAACATGTATAAGACAACACTAGCAGTGTCAAAAGCCTCACTAAATACATACACAAACACATGTAACAAAGTTAAAGTGAAAGAACGCCTTCATCGGGTGTCTGCATTTTCCTGGTCACAGCTTTTATGCTGTAACACCAGTATTTAATGACGTACATTCGAGAGAATAGAGATCTGTAATGGCTATTTCACTGTGTATCAATGGTACACAGTTGCCGGTCTGAAATTGCCTATTGCATAGCCTGTTATCCTATAAGGCACTGTTACTCTGTTAGAATAAACCTATTTGGCAAAGTTCTCCTGAAATCAGAAAAAGAATATGTTTTAATTGTTTCTTTAAGAGGTATAACAAATTACCAAGGACAGAAAGCTCTAAAAATGTTTACTATCATGTCATTTAGGGTGAGAAATGAAGCCTGGGACCAAAATAAAAACAAAACAAACAAACATAAAAAAAAACAATACACAATACAAACTAGTACGTTATACTTACTATATCATGCTGTAACTAACAATGTGATTCAGATCTCACAAAATTATCTTAAAGATATCTTTAAAAACTTTCTTACAGTCAAAAAGATTCATGTGTCTTCTGAGCTACCTTTTCAGGCTGAGTAAAAGTGCCAGCGTTGCAGGGCGTCCTCGGGTCCCACAGTCGAACTGATCTGTCCCAGCTCCCTGTTACCATGACATTAACCTCCGGGCAGTACTCCACACATCGAATGGGGGCATCATGTGTTCCAACTATTGTATCTGTTTAAGGAGAACATTAAAAAAAACTTTATATTATTATAAATTATTGCAGAAGATAATAAATCTGTTACACAGCTTTATGTACAACCTTGGTCTGTGTTTAAATCATGGGTTTTTAGTTGCGCATCTAAACCTCCGCTCCAAGAATGTGTTGGGTCCTGCAAAGTAGAAAAGTTGTGTGTATCAGGCTTCTATGCTTTAATGTGACAATATGGAAGCTAAAAATATATTCAAATCTGTGACCTACATAAAAAGCACAGTCAAGAACTGGAGCTGTGTGCTGGTACTTCATCCGCATAGTGTTGCCTCCAACATCAAAAAGCCGGACAGTGCAGTCCCAGGAGGAAACCAACAAGAACTGAGTTGTGCTGGGGCTGAACTTGACAGCAGAGATGCTGTCCTCTGGTCCCTGGTTTAGCTTGTACTCATTTGAGCCTGTCATCTGCATTAGAGCAAACAAACACAAATTCTGGAGTCAAGACGAATAGATAAGATAAATTAAAATATTTTAACATAGATTACGTGCAATCCAATTCAATAATATTGTAAACAAAAGATTTATAGAGGTGAACTGACACCTGTCTGAAACTGTCTATGGTTCATTCATCAATTTTTCCATTTATAGACTTGTACTGAATTCCATTATAAGGTTAAGGTATTCATGGTTTTGTGTTCACCCCTTGTCACAGCATTGATACACTGCCACACATACCAGATAAGATAAATGCTTGCCTTTCACTGCTTCATACACACACAAAAACAATCACTTTGACATTTACGCTGTAGACTTAAGACTTATACTTTATCATTCAGATACATAACAAGTGTACACAGAATGACACTTCGTTGCATTGGCTCAGCATAGTATTAAAATATACAAAATTAAAAATATACAGCAATAGACTAGCTATTCATAACAGTGGGTATGGCGATTGCAAATACTCATTCAGTTATTTTAGCAGTATGCCAAGCACAGTATAACATACAGTATAAGATCAAAAGAAAACTGAAAAAACGTCGACCTAGAAATCTAAGTTTTTTCAGTTTACTATGACCTGGATGACTGAGAATCTGCACAGATGAGATCAAAAGAACAAGTTCAGCAGTGCATCTGTAGTATTAGCAGTAATGCAAATAAAATAATATGTAATTCGAGATCTGAATATTAGCAGGTATCCTGTGGAGGCCCAAGTGATGCAATTGTGACAAAAAAGAGAGATCTTACTAGATCTGCCACCTTAAATAGAAAGCTCCAGTTTCTAATACAAGCGGGCTTGCGGAAAACAAATTGGTATACATCAGTGAATGCAATTCTGATGGCCAATAATTCCTAAAATCGTGCGTGTATGCCCTTCCGTTCATTTGGAAACACGTCTCTCACTTAGAAATTCTAATCTAAGGACTAACGTTAACCCACTAGTAGGCCAATTACTGGTGGTCCTTAGCTTTCCTACCCTGTTGTTAGCCTAACGTTATCTCAGCGACGGTGATTTTGGACTACCGATACTTATCATCTAAATTAAATAACATACAATACTGCTGCGATATCTGGTAGAGTAATAACTTCATGGGTTTTCGATAGCATTTGTTTTTAATTCACAGCGGCAACAACTTGATTCGTTACAACACCGCTACAAGCTAAAGCTACAAGCTAGCGGTAGCTTGTACCGGTGTTGTGCGTGCAATACAAAGCAAACTCTAGTGTTAACGTTAGCCGTTGCACTTCACTTACCGCGTCAGTTTGGTGCTGTTCAGACAGGAAGGATTCTTTTCTTGAACAATCCAAATTTTTATGCCTTGGTTACGATAGAATGTATAACGCAGCAAATGCTAACAAACAAGCTAATGAGGTAACACATTCGCTATCAAACGCATGAATGTGACGGTGTTGAATGGTGCAGAGTTGCTGATTGGTTGAAAAGAAAACTAAAGTTCCCGCCTGCACTTTTATTGGTTGAGTTAACCTTGACGTATATTTCCGTTGTCCTAACAGAGATCACATGATACGAGACCCCTCTCTCTCTCTCTTTCTCTCTCTCTCTCCCTCTCTCCCTCTCTCTCGTCCGGTCGTTTCTGGGGTTGTGTTTTTGATTTGAGATAGCTGCAATGCAGATTTTATAAAACATTGCAATACACCATAGTAAAATAGTAATGTAGCCTAAAGTGGGGTTTTAGTTGTGAATCCTTTAGCTAATAGCCTACTATTAAAGGTAATATGCTAGGCCCATGTATGCTTCGTACTGAATGATAAACCGTAGCCTTTCCGTATATTTTCCGTCATATCCTATTTGTGGTTTGAGGAAAACTTTAACAGATGAGATTATACTGATATAATAACAGTCATTTAAAGGTCAGCAGGATACAAGAAGAAAATAACTCAGCCTTTAAATAGGCTATATTGTTAAATCGCCTAAATGAAAAATGAATAACGACTGGATCTTACAGCAACTAGGCTAAACTTCTGAATTTTTCTTTTCATTTCCACGCGGCCAACTTAATTATAGCCTATTGTATTTAATTTTTGTGGATCTACACGATAAAATCAGAAACTAAAAAATAGTCTATAAGAGATACAGTGTTTGTGAGTCGAAATAGAACTAGGAAAAAGTCTATAGACATAAAATGTTGTTGCTCAAATGCAATGCAGCCACCTTTGCCCAAAGTCATCAGATTAAAAAAAGATGACAATCATTACTTAACAATTTAAATGACCAAAGTGGAATATTTTATTTAGGAAATAATCTTTACAGTCTCAATGTGCATTAATGCCTTGTCTAAACTTGCCTATTTTAAAATAGCCTATAGATCACTCCATCCTTGTTTTAAAAGCAAGATCTTTATGACATGAGTTGCGTGCTTCTTCCATGTCCATCAGAATAAAGATACGCTACATGTTTTGGAACAAAGTTTTTACTGCGTATAAGACGATATAATATACAGGATTCAAATAACAATGTCAGAGTAAAACCATATACAAAACAGGGGCTATTTTTGGCTCTTTCATGGCTTTAAAATTACCGGCAAAACATTGCGTCATTAAAACTATTCACCTTTTGCCTGCAGCTTTTCGGGGATTTTTTAAGGATCACATGATTGTTCTCAGTGTTACCAAAGGAAAGGGATAGCCTGTATTGTAAAAGGGAGCTGAAGGTGACAAAGGATGGTAGCCTAATGTGAAGCCAACAGTATTGCACAATATTAAATAGACTATCAAAATATTAAATTCCACGTTTTTACCTACAAACACCGACACAAATCTCTGTGAAGTAGACCAGCCAACCCTGCAACACAAGTTCTTTTTTCGAGCTGATCACAAAATATTTGAGCATGTAACAATTTCAATAATAATAATAATAATAAATTTCTATTGTCCCCGTGGGGGTGTATTGAGACTGCGTCTTGCTCAAGGACACTTCAGCAGAACAACAACAACAACGACAACAACAACAACAACAACAACAGCAATAATAATAATAATAAATATGACCTAACATTGTGTTTGTTAAATCTACAAAATATAGTTTTTTTTAAATGAAGGTCACTCTCATTTAAAAACGTAGGCTATATACAGCGCTTTATGACACTTGGTGTTAAACAGGCCTCAGCAATGGGACCGGATGGGAATAGTACATGTGATGGGGGAAAGCCAGGAGTGACTGGCTGCCCGATGAGTTTGCAGCGGAGCTCCCGGTCGTTTCTGGGGCTCCGTTCTCGTGATAAAGTATAGGAACCCGCACAATCCTCTGCGCCGCCGCATGGCTCAGGTTGGCCGCCTCCAGCTCCGCGGCCAGCTGCCTTTTCCACTTATTCCTCCGGTTCTGGAACCAGATTTTGACCTGTGTCTCCGTCAGGTGAAGAGACGCGGCCAGGCCTGCCCTCTCAGAGCTGCTCAGGTAGCGCTTGATGTCGAAGGTGGACTCCAGCTGGAAGACTTGACTTCGGGAAAACACCGTGCGCGTCTTCTTCTTCCGACAGGGCTTCTTCTCGGAGTCCATCTCGTCCGATTTTCTCCCCCACTCGTCCTCCTGGTCTGTTTCTTTTTTTGGCTCTTCCACGTCACTTTCATCAAGTGCAATATCGTCGTCGGCGCTTTCCTCTTTGCCATCTTGGTCACTTTTTTGGATGTCCGGGGAGCGCCTGTCTGATGCCGGTGATAGTTCCCTCAGATTGATCTTCTCAGATCCTGCAGAAAAAGTTTTTGACAGTAAGTACACTTGATCCTCTGAGCCATTAAACATGTGCTTTTACTTCGTTCTAGATATTCACTTTGTGGAACTGCATTTTCCTTTGGTTAAAGTGTTGATATTTGGCTGTGTATTTATTCCTCATAATTAAGCTTCGAATTTATAAGGTTTACTTCTAATTAAAAGGTTTACGGTAATCATGGGCTATATGCTTCCATGAAATATATGTATCTATATATTCATTTAAATTCATTTTTCCAAACCAAAACGCAGTCATTTTCGTGCCCGCGGAATGACAGTTAATATTAATCTACCTCCGGTCCTCAGATGAGTCCCAAGCGTGTATGGGTACCACCAGGGAGTCGCTCTCTCCAAATACTGCGCTGACAGTCCGATTCTCTGTGTGGGCAAGTCAAAGCGAGGGAAAGATAAATCACCGAGCCGAGAGAAGAAGCTGCCATCAAACACTCCTTTGGACGAGCTGAGGAAGCTTTTCGGCTTCGAGGGGTCTTTTGTGGGTTGGCGAGTCTCTTGTGCTTCAGAGTCTGCCATCACCTTTTACTGTCCGACGTGGATCACCATCAAAAACGCATACAAAAAAAAACTAAGAGATTTCTTGGTTTACAGTTTATATTTAAACCATACGAAAAAGAGATGGGGAAAAAGCCAGAGAGTTACTAGAAGTTGCGTCCTGCTCCGGATAATGATTAGTGAGAGCGCAGAGATCACTGCGTCAAACGTGCGCTGGATTGTACTGATGAAATAAAAATGCCATCCGAGTTAAAACGCGCTCGGTCTCTGCTATTGGACAGGTACAATAGCAAATGGGATTTGAGATAAAACCGCGATGGGTTGTGGCGGGAATCGACTCCAAAAGAGACAGCGCAAGCGTTTTGGCTTCGGGCTCAATAGTAGGCACCCACTTATCATCCAATTAGATTAAAGAGGAAATGTTTCAAAGATTTTGGGTCTTGCACGAGCCACAATCACCTGTCAGTAAACTGAATAAATGGTCTGGAGATTATCACACCTCAACGTGGAGCTAAGCAGCTTGGCCTTGGCTCAAATTACGCATATTTTACGTACTGATGTAAGACAGCGAAGCATAAAACTAATGAAAAGGGAGACTTGAATTTAAAAAGCAGTATTATACTTCTTATAGTACAAGAAAGATACATTATATGTTTCTTGATACACTGTTTTCGACTTTGTAGGCGTTGTTGAACATTGTCATTGAACCTGTCATTCATCAGTTGTGTTTCAAATATCTTTTACAGCTGTGTGCAACAGGAAAGCAATAAACACTGTGCATTTCACATTGGCTTCAATGTAATTTAATTAGTCAGGAAGTGCTAGAGCCAGACATCAAACTGAATGTGTACCATTGTGATAAAGGCCTTTTAAATCAGCTTTGTACAAAAGCCTGCAAACCCACAGGGGCAGCAGGTGATCAAATGCATGACACAACAAGTATTGTTTCTGTCACATGTTATAATGATACTAGTGTTTGGCTGCAGCAGATATGTGAAATGAGACATTCAGATAATCAAGTGTGATCAGAGTAGAAGAAAAATGCACAATAAGTGGTGAGGAGATAGCCTTTCCATTTGTTCCTGTTTTCAGGTTGAGACTAAAGGCAAAATTAAAGCTGGAGAATGAGGTATGATAGATCCTGGACTCTTGAATCTAAAGCTTGTACTTTGCATCAGTACATAAATCTGTCACTGATAAAACCCAAAATCGAAGATAAAAAATATCTCTCTCACTCCAGGCCAATGATGAAGGAGGTTGGAGAAGGAACCTCAGTATTTTGGTACATTTGGGATCACATGAGGTACACTTTGGCTCTGAAATACTGATATACAGTATGGCAAATATAAAGAAAATATCAAAAACACAAAATGAGATGTATTGAAGATTCATCATTTAAACCAAACTTGAAGCAGATGCCGAGAACTAATCACACAAATTGAATTTGCTCAACCTACAAACATGCAGCCTGTCCTTTTAGCTCGTGAAGCACGCTTCAGCTCTAAAGGACAACACAGTGTTTTGTGAAAGGCTACTTGAATCCCTGCATAATTAGAGGTCTCATAGCTGTGTTAAAGATGGGGGTGGAGAAAGTGGCTAGCTGAGCTTGTTTGCCAGTGCAAAGTGAAAAACAGATAGCTATGTTTTCATCAGTTTACATTCATTAAACAGGGCCTTGTTGAATAGACAGAATAAGTCAGAGTGGATACAGGGGAAAACAAAGTACACTCGATCAATGATGCAAATGCAGGCCTGTGTTTCCCCTTTTTAACTTGGTCATTTAAGTGATTTTGGAAATGTCTGTGCAAACATGGAGCGGATGTTATTAATATATTTTGTTGTCTGTTTTTCTAGCTTCATTTTCAACCCGTCATGTTCACTTTTAAGTGGTACTATGGATTATGAAGTGTATACATTTACATCACATATAATCTACTCCTGTCATATTGTTAGAACAAATTGATGACTCAGACCTAAATTATATATATTTTTGGCTTTACCAGCTTATTCTACCTAACTGCTGTTTGATGATAAATGAATCAGTAAATTAATTCTTATACAATACTAAATCTTAGGCAGTTGTCTTCCATGACAACACAAACAGAATTAATTAGACATCTACATTTTTCGTTAAGTTTCAAGTTGAATGAAAATGTAAAATAGGGCATTTTCAGCAAGCACGCACGAATGTTTTGCCAAAATAAAATATCTTTATAAATGTTTTCCTTTTATAGAGCAATTTACTTTTTCTCTACTAATTTTTCCCAGTGCAGCTACATATAATGCTTTAATTCTCTGTAAACAAACAAACAAAAAAAAAAAAGGTTTCACCAATGCAGTGAAAAATGACATAATTCTCTATAGTTAAGAGTCCATAAATGTGTTCTACACATCTCTATATTTGGCAGGAACACAACCAATCTGCACCACTGAAGAAGTTCTGACTTTTCTGACTTTAACATCCATGTTCATAGATAAAATGTTAATAATGAAGGGCTTTCTTTATGTTAAAGAAACACTTGGTAGTTTTTTTTAAAGAGCTATTATGTATCTGTATTGGACACAGCTTGTCTGCGTTGTGTAAAACAATAGACCTCATTTCACACAGCACATAGGCCATGGAAATGTAATCTGTCTCACCTGAAAAATTATCAGTGAGTCAATTATGCAAGGCAGGTTCTTCTCATCTGAAGCACCAGCGTAATTAAACTGATATAAAATATCATTAGAGGTGACAGGCTGTTAAAGGATATGGTAATTGACTGCTTTTTTTCAGAGAGAGGTAGCCTCAGCTCAGGGCTGCTGTCCCCCAGGAGAATGCCCCCATCTAGTGACAGAACTTGGTGTTACCCTGCAAACAGGTAACCAAAGAAATATGATTGTCGCACTCCAGTCTACTTCACATTTATTGATTTTGTTAATTATGTTAGATTACTCTTTACAGATGATTTATTTTCATGATGTGAAGTCACTTCCTCATTTTGCCAACAAGGAAATGTACAGTGTTTATGGAGCTTATACTTTATGTGAGTGCAGAGGAAACACACGTTACTGCTCTCAGTCACAGCAGACCTTCTGAAGGCACTGAAACATTCAAAGAAAATCCCGATCAATACTTTTCAAAGATTCATTTTCATACTGCAACATACAGATGAACTTCTGACATAATCTATCAACACAACTCAATAAGCAGAATGAACAAAAGGGAAATGGTGAAGGTCTCTACAGACAAACACTGTCTTGTTCCTGGTGGTTTGAAAAAGTGACAGAAAGTGAATGGGAAATTTAAAAAAGCATGAGTTTGCCAGAGCAAATTTAACCCTAAAGATGGGGAACTGGAACCAGCAACAGCAGTAACAACAGTTGGGGCGACTACTTTATAAAAGTACAAGTTGGTGATATAGCAACAAAACTGAGGTCTACAGCCTAACATTACTGCTACATCAATTATTCTGCAATAATCAGTCATTTGAGGAAAAAAATGGAGTGTAACATAGCAAAGTGCAATCTATCAGATGGTTTTAGTGCTCATACTCCTTATCAATGAACTTGGCAACTGTGGACAGCTGGATATTTGTTGTGCCCTCATAAATGGTACCTGCACATGAAGACAAAACAAATCATTAGAATGAAGTCCTGCAGTACAAAGCATTCACCTACATTCCCTAGTACATAAATCTGCAGCTTTGACTATCCAGGAGACAAGGGGGCTCAGTCTACTGGTGCTCTAGGTGAAGAACCCGGGGAGAAAAAATGGAGATGATGAAAGGAAATGTGACATTTTGCCCTGGTAGTGGTAGCTTCTTTGGCTGTGTGCTGGTATAATGACACTCAGTGGGATCAGACAGGGGAATTCCTACAGAGTCCGATTACAGCCACTGCTATCAGGTCTTCTCTCCACCCCAACTCTGGTCCAATCACAAACAGCTACACCTGACCTTCCTGCAGCTCTATCACTGTAGCTTTAGTCACAGTTACCTAAACCAGCTCTAATCTAAACAGCAGCATAACAAACAGTGTGCAAAGCATTAGTCCAGTCGTGCTCACCAATTTTACAGTCTCTATAATATTTCTCCATGGGGTAGTCTTTGGTGAAGCCCACACCGCCCATCCATTCAATACACTTGGAGGTGGTCAAGGTTGCAACCTGCAGAAGACAGAGGATAAGAGATAATATAATACCTTTTATGTAATCAGGAAAAACCTAATCAGACAAATGATGTAAAACTGATAAAACAGGAAAGCATCCTTAAAAAAACTTAAGTGGATCTATAAAATAAATCAGATAACACTGATGATCATAATATATCCTAGAAATGTACATAAACAGAAACACCATGCTTGAATTGAACTGTAGTTGGTGAGTCAGGAAGCTCACCTCTGAAGCAAAGTATTTAGCCATGGAGGCCTCTTTAATGAAAGGCCTCCCAGCTTCCTTCAGACGAGCTGCGTTGTACGTCAGCAGCCGAGCTGCTTCAATCTGTGTTGCTACATGGGCTATTTGGTGCTGCATGCCCTGCAGCATAAAGAGAGCATAAGTAAATAACATAACTTGTTGAACCACATACTAACCACAGGAATAATGAGAATATGATATGTAAAAGAAGGGAGTCTGCTGTGGAGCTTAACCTGGAAGTCAAAGATGCGTTTTCCAAACTGCACCCTCTGTCTGGTGTAAGGAATAGTGTGGTCAAAGCAACCCTGTGCCAGCCCAAGCATCTGAAAAACACAAACCCAGCACACTCTGCATTTCTATTTTACATGTTGTAAACTTTTTTAAGCTATTCTACCTAATTTCTTTTGACACTCAAAATAAACCTACACCATTAGCTGCTTCTAACTGCTCTTTGCCCCTCCTGTCATGTCCTGTTTCCTCTACAAAATGCAGCCTCCAGTCCAAAGCTAGCATTAGCTGACTAAGTAAATTTGTCAATCCAGTAGAATGCTCTGGTTACTGCTAAAGTGACACAAAGCATTAACATTAAATAAGGCTCAAATTACTCCCAGATTTACAGACTCTACCACATCTAGTCACATTTTCCCTTGATTTATCATAGAATGTGTAAAATCTTAGTTAATGCACCTGCAAATTATTTAAATTAAAATGTCTCATGGTTTACCTGAGCAGCTATGCCAATCCTGCCCCCATTCAACATTCCAATGGCATTCTTGTACCCATGGCCGACCTGTCCCAAAATGTTCTTGTCCGGTACCTTTAATGGAGAGCAGAAAGTTAGTAAAAGTCAATATGTATTTATTTCACACCGGTCCTGTAGAGTACAATGTGTTTGCAGTACCTTGACATTGTCAAAGTTGAGCGGGCAGGTGGAGGATGCACGCAGGCCGAGCTTGTTCTCCTTCTTGCAAATCTGAAGCCCCTCAGTGTCCCGGTCCACAATGAAGCAGGTGATGCCTCTGTATCCCTGTCAACCACAAGAAAATCTGCCATTACATTATGGTCAAGTAATAAAAGCATCTGTGTCAAGAAGGTGTGAACATTATTAAAGTAAAACAAGTAAAATGTAATGTAACCCAAAACAATAATCAGTGATTTCAGTGAAAAATACCTCTGAGAGGCTTAAATAATTAGATTTGAATGAGACTGAGTTAGTGAGGCCATGATTTAACGCTGTGGTCATTTTTTGGTTTATAATTTGTGATGTCTTTGGATTAGAAAATCCACTGTTACTCTTTATTACAGTTCATTTTTCTGACACAAGATGATGAAATTCAGTTTTTTGCATTAAGACATCTCCAAGACAAATATAACAAATTAAGGAATAAGCTGTGGAACATTTTTTAAAATATGAAAACAGGTAACAAGAAGAGAAAGATGAGCATTGACTCACAGCAGCGGGATCCGCATTGGCCATCACCAGGAATACACCTGCTTGCTCTGCATTACTGATCCACATCTTGGATCCGTTGATGATGTAATAGTCCTTATGTTTTTCAGCACGTGTCTTCAGAGCAAAGGCATCACTTCCTGACTGAGCTTCAGAGAGGCAGAAGCTTCCAATCTGTGGGACATGACAGATGTACATCAGGAAGTGTGGGAAAATGCCATATGCTGAAGAGCTCAATGTTAAATTTCTCACCATATCAGTTGACAGGCGGCTGAGGTACTGCTCTTTCTGAGCTGGAGTACCCAGTTTGGCAAACAGCGTATTGATCAGCGTGTTCTGGATGTCACAGAGCACAGCAACAGATGGATCCACCTTTGCCAGCTCCTCAATGACCAAAATGGAGGAGAAGAACGAAGAGCCAGTGCCGCCATATTCTGGGTCAATCTCAATGCCCATGAGCTGAAAAATAGATAAATAAAATCAATAAAACACAGTCAGTAGATAGTAAAAAAATAACTGGTGACAGTGATTGTAATGCCACATCTATTAATTCACAGTTACATACACCCTGCTCAAAGAGAGATTCAATCACTTCCTTGTCCATGGTAGAATTTTCATCCATCTTTGACACAACCGGAGCAATGCGTTCTTGTGCATATTTTTTCACTGTAAATAACAAAACAGATGTTCAGCATTTTAGGAATTTATGTCTCCAGCTGTGAGTATTACTGGGGCACACGTTACCAGATCCCCGGCTCACCTGCCTCTCTCATCATGTTCTCCTCTTCTGAAAATGTCTGAAGTGGAGGAAAGGAGACCACCCCAGCTGCCCGGTCTGCAGCCACATCTGGGGCAGATCTGGTAGACGTACTCCTCCATCCAGCATGATATGCCCCCCATGGTCGAGAGATCTGTTTGCAAGACTGATAGCAAGGCAGAGAACTGTGAAAATATTCTGTTTGTGTTAACACACAATGATGTCGGCCATCGTTCACCACTGGTGAAATTACCGTTAATAAATTCACCTTCCTATTTGGAGTGTGCAGCTACTGTCTAGTTGGTAAAGACACAAGTTCATTTTGTGCTCTAGCTAGTGTTAGCCGTCTGTCAATAGCTAATAACGTCACAAAAGGAAGAGCCAGCTAGTTTGCATAAGCTAAGAATGAAGGCCTAATAGAGTGTAAGACGAATTAAAATCACTGCAGAAACCGAGTAAATATAAATAAATACGACCGCAAGTTTCACCTTTGAAAAAATCCTAACCAACGGAGCAGCCATGATTCATTCCGAAATGTTTACATACGGTCATGTGCCACAAGGAGAGTGCTGCTGCCTTCAATGGCTCCCGTAAAAAAAATCATTGAGAAAATATTTTAGATGTGTAGCTACCGAAGACAAAACTGTTGAGTTGACAGAATAGACACTTTATTGTGGGTGAAACAAATATGTGTGTATTGTACATATATATGGTTTAGACGTAATTATAGGCTATTGCATGTGTTGATTACATAGGAGCCACAAACTGGGGCCACTAGTTCGTTTGTATGTGCGAAATGCATTACATCTGTCTAACGGTCTCCGAAGGCAACAGGTGCGTTTGGGGGCGTATCAGAAAAACGGAAGCTGTTATGCAGCCCTGGGTAACGGCTGTAGACGAAAATCTATCCCCAGGTCTCCGTACTTCTCTCTGCTCGTCGATAATGTTGCTCAGGTGCTGAAAGGTAAGGTATGGGCTGCGGCGAAGACGTTAAATAATTGGGTTTCATGATAAATGCCAGAAGAGGCGAGCTAGCGAGGTTACGTTGGCATTATTAACCGCTACGAGCTAAACAACGACATTTTATAAACAGCTGCTTTAGTTACTGTCGGCTGTCAGATGTGAAAGCGTCGTTGTGACACGTCTGGCTATCGCTTAATATCCTCTGTATCTTGTCAGGTTCAACCAGGAAGAAAGAAATGGACGAGATAAAAACCGAGCCTCTGGATTTTGTGAAGGAATTTCAAGAATACCTGACACAACAAACCCAGCATGTCAATATGATCTCAGGCTCTGTTTGTGGCGAAAAGGAGTCAACGGAGCCGTTTCAAGCCGGTGAGAAAGACTCACAATAACTGATAATGTACGAGTACAGAGTGAGATGTTGAAGTGTGTTTGTGTTTAGCTGCCCCCAGGAATGAGCAGAATGGTCTGGACCCTCCGGCTGTGGAAGTGAGCCTGTCAATGGAGGATGGGCCAGATGTGCAGATGGATGGCCTGGAGAGGACCTGCGATGGGAAGTACAAGTGCAGCTACTGCAGTTATGCTAACAAGGGCATGGCTCGCTTAATTGAGCACATCCGCATCCACACAGGTCAGTGTTTACGCTGCATTCATGAGCTAAAGCAAGGCCATGCCTACAAACATATATTTGAAGCACTGATGCAATTCCTCAGCAGTGGGGGCCAGATGCTTCTCAGATGTGTGAATCATACGTTTCTCTTATCATTTATACAGTAATAGTAAACGTTATAGCTTTGATGTATAGACCTTGGTCTGTGGAAAATTACAAAGGGCAGTTTTCACTGTATGACATTTTACAGATAAATAATCAATTATTTGTATCTGGCAGATTAATTTGTAATGATGACTGCTGCAGCAGTAGTGTAGACACTCCTACCACTGAGTCCAGATGCAGTTTCCCTGAAGCAGTCTTGAAAATCCTACACAAATATGCAAATGTACAAGAGGATGTTTGTTAATCACACAGTAGAAGCAATTCTGAATTAACAATACAAAGTAGTAAGTCATTTTTATGTCAATGATTTGAATTTCTTGTATCTCCCAAAAATGTTGGTTGCAGTTTGATTTGGTTACAGTATGACCTACATTAATTAGACAATAAAGGAAGAACAAGAAAATCTCTTGCTGTCTATATTTGTATAGATCATATTGCTTCACCCTGTGTAATTCCTTGTATAGTACTTATTGCCTTGTTGCTTTTTACCTTTTCCACTATGCCTGGTAATCAGCTAACTGCAATTATTTCCTCTCCTGATGTCACCCAGGAGAAAAACCTCACCGCTGTCAACTGTGCCCATTTGCGTCTGCGTACGAACGCCACTTGGAAGCCCACATGCGTTCGCACACAGGAGAGAAGCCATACAAGTGTGACCTCTGTGCTTTCCGCTGTAGCGACCGCAGCAACCTGTCCCACCATCGTCGCCGCCGCCACAAACTTCTGCCCACAAGGGTCATCCGCTCTCCTTTCACCAACAAGAGAATGTTGAGCACCCTGCAGAAAAGAACTGGGTCACTTGGCTTTAGCAGGCGACTACTCATAAACTTCAACCCTCCTTCCATGGTGATGCCAAAGTCAGATTATCTGAATGACTTCTCTCACAAAATCCACCACCATTTGAACAGCAGTGAGTATAGGAACCTTCCCAAGGTGGATGAAAACAGTCGCAACAGGGGCGCTAATGGTTTGGCCTTTAATAACCCACTGGACCGACTGTCCACATTTGCTGGCCAGTTGGCCAGCCTTCACCCTGAGTCTCAGACTCCTGCATCTCCAGACAGGGAGTCCTTAAAAGATGAGAAGCCCATCCTCCTACAACAGGTCTCTAGTGAACAGGTTGCAGTGTGTTCAAATGGAGTGCAGACATCACCACCTAAAAAAGAATCTCCCAACTCAGGGTGCGGGCCTTGCAGTCCTGTTCCCAGCCTCAACTTTGAGAACAATGCAAACGCTCGTACTGCGAGCGTTAGCAGCAGCTGTCCAAACACCCCCCCCACTGCCCTGACCACATCAGACCAACAGTTGTTACAGAGGTGCCAGCATTGTGATGTTCACTTCGCAGACAATATCCTCTATACCATTCACATGGGCTGTCATGGCTATGAAAATCCATTCCAGTGCAACATCTGTGGACACATGTGCATAGACAAATATGAATTTGCATGCCATTTTGCCCGTGGCCAACATAAAAAGTGATTCCTTGCAACGTCCTATAGACGCCAATAGAATCACCGATCCCTGTGGTTTTGCTGTATTCCTTGTACCTCATTTAAACATAATGACACTGATTTACTTTTTATATTTTTGTTATAAGGTTACCTTTTTTTTTATTATTATTATTTTACACTCATTAACTCCACTATATTGATGCCTTACTGAAGTTCTACATGACTCCCAATGTTCAACTTTTCATTTCAGTTTGGAACAGACAAAAGCACAGGAACATCTTGCAGTCAGTGTTAGTTAAGACCTTCTGACCCGACTTTCTAATGCAGCTGCTTGTGTTTGGCTTTTCACTGATTCTGAGCATTCACTTCTCATCACTTTACAATGAGTTATCACATTTTCACTCGGAGCTTATAGTAAGTCACAGTTACACAGGCAGCTATTTATGACACATTTCAAATAAAATACCAACAGTATTTAAAAGCTAATAACATTATGAGCATCACCAGCTCTGTATGAGCTGCTGGTCTGTTAAAACTGTCATGTTGACCACCTTCTGTGTGTCACTTATTATGCTAATTATACCACCACTTACACCTCAGTTAAATAATCTGGACATATTTTCACTGTGAGCAAATTAAGTGGGATGTTCAGGGACTAACAGTCTAATTGGCTCATATTTTGCTGAAAATTTAAGGCAGCCAGACTCATTATAATCCTGCTTGCTGTTCTAATATTTATTTATACCTCACTCTACATACTGTAGAAGGTGTCCCGCCAAATCAATCAGTAATATTTCAGATGGATTTCAATATTGCTTTTGTTACTGAGTTATACCTTTGAAACCTCTTTCTACAAGTATTTATAAATTGTCTTGAGTAGTTTTCATGGTACTATATATACCAGTTTTTAGTACAAAATCAAGTTTTACCGTAGCGAATTCTTAATTGCGTAGTAGCTGCTGCTGAGGTATTGTAAAGATCCAGGATAACCCTGTGACTCAGCGATATGATGTGAAATAACTTTACCTTTTAAGTAGTACATTTTGATTTTGTGTAAATCTTTGTCTAAAGTAAAGGCTTATTTTATTGGCTAACTTAGCTGTATTGTATGTGGTTATCTTATAGGAATTTGAGATTAATCATCTTTTGTCCCTTTTAATCTTAATTACATCATGTGTATCCTGACGAACAAGTTAAAAATGTTATTCCATATGTACAGAAATCATGTACATGACCATTACATGGTAGATTAATCTGAGCTTGATGTGAGTTCTGAGGATTTTTTTTTTAAATTTCTAAATAAAATGACAAAAATACCTTTTACAAGAGTTTGTTTCACTTAGTGCCATTATGGTCCACAAACTGAAGAACAAGGGATTAGCAAACATATACTGTATTTACATTTATTATATTATTAATTATAAACACATTTACTTCTCACTTTTGATGCAATTAAATCTGGAATTGAGAAAGTCATTTATGATTCTCAACAAAATTTCCTTTCTCTCATGATCAAAAACATCCACTGCTCTTTTCACCACACGTTCCACATCAATGTCCTCTTCCTGAGTGAAAGACACTTCTTGAATGAACTGTTTTCTCAGGTTGTGAAGAAATGTTGCTTTGGATTCATTCAGCTGAGTGGCCAAAGACCTCATATGATCAGGGGGTGCTTGATTTTCTGAGGTTAAAGTGACAAAATGATGCATTATGCAGGGCTGTAAAACACAAACTGAATTTAAAAAAAAAATCAAATGTGAACGATAAAATTCACAACTAACCTCTGGCAGTTTTCATGGCTTCAGAGATCAGGCGTCGACAGGCCTGGTCAGCCTGGTGAACCACGCTGGTTGCACATTTCAGGCGATCAGCCTCCTGCACAATACGGGACAACAATGCAACTAAATTCTGCACCTGCATATTTAAAATCCACTACTCACAGATTTCAGGGAAGGTATGTTGACACACCTTTTGTTCAGTATTGTCCTCAATTGGACTTAGTGGGGTTCTCAGTGAAGAGGAAATCAATTCCATCACCTTCTGGCTGAGGATAAGGCACACAGAGGGGAAACAGACAGAAGCAACAAATTAATAACAGTTTTATGCACTTGAACTTAATAATAAGTATTAATAAATCACTCAGCTGTCTTACATGTCACATTTGGATAAATTGTCTGTTGTGTTGAGCAAGACACTGTTAATCTCCCATGAGTTCTTCTGTGGATTGGGAGGCTCCAAACGCTTCACCATCTCCAGTATAACCTCAGTGGGAATGGGTTTGTCCCTGCTTTGGTTTCTACTGATGCAGGACTCCAAATCACACTGCAGATGCACCTGGCAGAACCCCAGAGAATCTGCAGCCACAATTGACAAGAGTAAATCAGTCAGAGGAACACCATTTAAATTGATTAAAGTAATGGCCTACACAGAAAACAGTACTTACACTTTCTTGCAAGTTGGTATACTTCATATCTCATGCTTGGATAGTAGAAGTTGTCATCCAGTAAAAAGAGAAATGCTGCCCGGTCAGCCCAAGAGCGGTCCAAAGCTTCAGGCTGTAGCAGAGCTTGAGTGCACTGCTTCCATACAGCACTGTTAATCTGACAGCTACTCGGCAGCTCTACCAACACTTCAGGCTTCTTCAAGAACTGCTCAATGCACTGCAACACTGCCTGTCTGTGTGACTTCCACTCAGTGTGCTAAAAACATATACATTTTGGAAATATGAAACTCAGTTTACACTGTCGTCACACAAAAGTACTGTGAACATTTAAACAGGGGCATATAGCAGAAATCTGAAAGAGGACAGTGACTTAATGACTTTGCTACAATGTATCTGATATCTAAAGTTAATATATCTGACCTTCTTAATTATATGGTCTATGAATAATTCTGTGAATTCACATGGAACCAACCTGACCTACAGTATTCAAATTACTTGTCCTATTCCATCACCAGTCCAAAACTCAAAGACAAGCTGTTAAATATAATAGAAAGCCAAGAAATGTTAGAAGCTGCAACCAGTGGCTTTTAGGTATTTGTTTCTACATAATAACAAAAGATTGTTTCAGCTCTCCTGCACAATTTCCTATTGTGCCCCCAAGTAATTCCTATTAATACAAGAGCTGAACTTTGTAGCAATCTATATGGAATTCTTAAAATACATTGATTGTTAATTCAACCGTCTTCACCATTTCTTGCAGCTTGACACCGTCCTCCACCACTCTAGTATGGAAAGCATGCTCGGGGATCAGGTCATCGTACGGTACCACAGTAGCTCTCCAGCCGTGCTGTGCAGCGGCGTTCAGAACCGCGAGGGCCAGAGAGGACTTCCCAGCGGCAGGTAACCCGCACAGGACACACAGACAAGCCGGAACCCGAACGACACCTGCATCCTCTTCTGTTGCCATACACCACCGGAGAGCTGGTTTAAAATATTTCCTTGTGTTATAGTCTAACCACGGGTGGTTGTTGTCAGCTGACTTCCGCATCACGTTGCGTCAAAACATGAGGAAACGCGTAATTCCGGCACACTCTTTTCAAAATAAAAGCCCAGAAACTGAAGCAAGGCCAGTAAGAGTAAGTAAGAGTTGAATAAGGTGGGAGATGTTGACTGTAAGACATTTCTTTCGTTTGAAAGCAGTGTACTAGCAGCGTACTAAAATATTTACTTCCTCACACCTATGTTCACTCTGCGCTTCACATGTACCGATTACATTAAACTAGGGCTAATGTGATAGTACAAAAATGTTACTACAAAGAAACCCACACAATTAGGTTACATAAAAAACTTTAAATTAATTACCTGATATTTATTTATTACAATTGTTCAAATTCAAAATTTACAACAGTTTGTAAATACAGTGCGAAATATAACAGCATAAAATACAAAAATCTTCATTACATTTTATATGGACATATTTCAAAAGAGTGATACAGGAACTGAATAAAACATATATTCCAATAAATATAACAGCTTCATCCACCGCCATATTACTACAGTCAACCTTGTAAACGCCCTGCAACACTTTACAGTGAATTTTTTAATCACAGTTTTAACCCTTGTGTTCTGTTAAGAATCATAAAATGGTCATCTTCATATTGTACTGAGCTGTTGTAAACCCCACACCTTCACAATATAATTGAAAACATTTAGTTCAAAAACAGAATCAAATTGGTTCTGTCCTGGATAGAATTGGTCTGGGCACCCCAGGGCCCTGCATAGGAGCTGGAGGCACTGCTGGGGCAGCATTCCTTTCATCATTCCAGTAATCCAGTTCCCCATACCTGTAGTTGAGAAGTTATATGAAAATTCATATTCAGTTCAACCAGCTATAAAAGGTGTGCTTGAACATAAAACCTGTATGTGTGAGCTCAAGATGCAGACTGAAAGTAAAAGTACATACCCAGGAACCACAACTGAGGCTTCTGGTAAATGTTCAGGCTAGAATTATAAGTAAAAACAACACAATCAGTAAGCTTTTAAAGAAGTACCAAAAAATAAAACATATACCTGTTTTGAATGACTTGCCTCTTTCATTTTGTGCCACTGCATTTTTAGGTAATGAAAAATCAAACTGGAAAATAAACACTGCACTGATTTCCCTGCAATAATAATGAACAAAAACAAAACTACAGTATTTACCCTATTAGGTGGAACCTGTACTGGAGGCTGGGTTGGGCCACTTGTCTCAACATTCCTATTTGATGGTGTATTTGCATTACGTGGCCTGTAAAAGCAAAACACTTATAAAATCCTTTAGCTGGAACATAAAACATTGCAGCTCCAGCCTTCAAAAATATCTATCTGTATATTTTAATGTGTAATGTTTGTGTAATGTTTACTTGGGGCGTCTTTTCAGACAGGGGTCCAGGGAATCTCTCTTGAAGAAGTAGAGCAACACTAGAATGACAAGAATCAGAACAGGAACCACCAACAGGAAGAAGATCAGCAGGCCATTCCTGAGGGAGTAGTCTGAGAGAGAAAGGGTTATGAGTTAATACAGGTCATGAGAGTATATTTAACTGCATTAGTTAGAACAGTGAACTTGTATTCTTAACAGATTCCCTTGAATTCTCTCCACAATTTGCAGACCTTTTATGTAACTAACTGTAGCTTAAAGGTTATTTTAACTGCACTTTCAGACACTTGACAATATAAGATAAACATAACTTGCATACTATAAATATCACAAGAGGGGACAGCATGCAGCCCAAGCTGTTTAGATTTATATATAACTGGTGGGATTACAGTTTCTTCAAGTTTGTCATGGTCTTGGCTGAGAGATATACCAGACTGAGATTAAAAGCAAATGGACACACCGTCATACAGCTGGGTTAATGGAAACAACTGATAACTTTTCCATGTTATTAAAATTATCTAAGACCAAAACAGGTTGACATCTGGGTGCTTCAATAACAGATGTAACTAGGCAGCACTCAGAGTGCAAACCTCCACCAAGGAAGATCACTGGCTCCTTAATGCCATTCCACCTAAAAACAATATTCCCATGATAGTTTGGCCTCAGAATATGATCATTTGACCATAAAAATCCACTCCTACTATTTGGAATCACACTGATATTATTATTAGTCTCAACATTATTCAAGAAAAATGATAATTCAGTAATGGTGGTTGTCTTCAGGATCTAGCTCAGTAACTTTTGAAGATGCATCAAGATTTGTTGACACCACTGAATCAGCAGAATTTCGAATAGAATCTGACCTTAGTCGCAAGTCTGTAGCATTATTTGTTGTTACACAGTAGCAAGTTTTCTGAGTCAAATAAATTTTAACATTCTAGATCAACACAACCAGAATATTACTTGGATCACTGGATCCAGATGATGATCTGGATCAGCATCAAAATTTACTGGACTGTTCTGTGAGCCATAACCTACCACCCCAGGAAAAATCAAATCAAATCAAAATCTATTCACTACCTTTGAGTTATGCTGTGAATGAACCAACCAGCAAACAAATGGTGGTATAAATAAATAAATACATTTTCTTCTACCTTGGCAGAGGTAATAAAGAAGCACTGTAACCGTAGTCATTCCTGCAGATGATGATTATTGTATGAGTAATATGATGCCTTGATACAGGACTACTCTAGGCCACACAATCATATATTAGATTACCACATATCTAGTGATGCATTTAGAGAACTTCCTTTGTCTTGGAAGTAAACTGAAAGAATCAGTTTAAACCCACCTATCATAGCAGGGCCACTGTCAATGCTGCCACCTCGTCCTGGTGTGTCACAGTAGGGTGGGGCCCACCCATCATTACAGTGGCAGCGTCCTAAATTATTACACACCTGTGGAAAATATAACAGCAACAGCAAAGTCAGACTTCTCATTACTGGCTGCAAACTGGCTAAATAAAGTCAAGAAAATTCCATCTGACCCCTTGGCCATTGCAGGTGGCGTTGGCATCACAGGTCAATTTGGGCCGTAGCAGAGCGGCATCCACACACTTAAAGCCCAGGCAGGTCTGAAAGGGAAGACATATGACCTGACTGCAAGTGATGTATTTTCACAATAAAAGTACTGTCCTGGAACAAATCAAATCACATAAGTTCCAGGAACATTCCGTCTATTTGGCATCTACACTTCTTAAAATACTTTCCAGTCTTTTAAAGTATGCTTACCTTTCCTGTAGCACAAAGACTGCCAGGTTTAACATAGCCAGGATCGAGCACATCTGAGCCAAGTCCGAAGTCTACATTAACGCATTTTTGGCCCTGAACTACTTGGATGCTGACTTGGGCACCAGGAGGGGGGTTGTTGACATCCACATTAGTACACTGCACCTTTCCACACATGACATTTCTACAGCACAGGTTCAAGAGAAAACAGTCAGTTCCCACTGCTGGTAATCGGATAAATGATGAAAGAAGTTAATCTTTCCTTCAACTGACAAAATGAAGTTGCATCACATCGTTTAGTTTAAAATGACCAAGTATATTCAATTGGAAGACTTTCTACAACAGCGAAAACAACACATTAAAAGAAAATATTACTTTAACAGTTGTATCTGCAAGTCCACTGGGCCCAATTCTACTGAAGATAGATGATTTGATTTTTGACCAGACAATCATAGGAATAACTGTACACTGAAAACTTTCAATGTGCCCCAGATAATTTCAACAAGTCGGTTCTATATTGATACATCTTACAATACATGATTTTCAAGTTTCAATTCTGTGAACAATACAACTGCCACTGCAGTTTTTCAAAGAGTTAAACATTTTTAAAGATCTATTTGCTAAGTTTATAGCATTCAGTGGTTTAAAGCCAGAGTACTTACTCGCTAGTACATTTGATGGGATTTTGCGGGTTGATATATCCACAATTTCCAAATGCGTTTCCCGCACTATTTGCAGCCTGAAAACAAACATCTGCTGCCTTTGTTGCTGGATCTAACCAAGAGAAAATTTATTTCCAAGATAAAATTTTTATGACAAGAGAAGTGAATACTTTGCCAGGTGACCACTCTATCTTAGTAGACTTTGGGTTAATGTACAATATTTCATAATCAGACTCAAATTAAAAGTTATGTTTCTGACTGGCCAAGAAAATATGTCCAATAGTAGAAAACCTCACAGTTTCTAACGCTTAAGTAGCTGCAGAAATCTTTGTATAAGAAATTACTGAATGTACCTGGTGAGAAGAGATTTCTGCACTGGAAATCATACGTCTGGCATCGGCCCTCATAGCAGTAAGCAGAACTGCTTAGACAAGGCAGGCCATCCAAGCCGTAAAAGTCATCAGGACAGAATGGACTGCTGCCATTACAGTATTCAGGAAGATCACAGGTGTCAGCAGCCACTCTGCATATCGATCCAGAAACTTTGATCTAAAATCATCATATACAACAATACAGACCAACTTATTTTCCATTTGGCCCTTCAAGTGCAAAGAACATTTTCACAAGTACAACCGATTGCCACTATTTGGTGCACAGTGCTGACCTGACAATTCTCACAGCAATAGCCCTGAGCGCAGGTGGAACCAAATGTGAGTTTGCAGGTGGCAGCATCGCAACATTTATTGGTGCATTCCTGTATAAAACGAAAACAGAAAAAAAAAAAACTTTCCATGACAATTAAAGACCAGATTTCCAAAGCTAGACTCATTTCATTCTAAAATCCATGAGGTTTTAACATAACGTGTGTCCATGCTAGTTTACATTTGTGTTACACCAAAAGACTTTTACGATACATAACACATGAATTGTGTGTATGTGTTTCTCTGGAAGGAACCACTCTACCGCTGGTTTGCCACAGTCACACTCCTCTTTTGGGTCCAGAATACCATTGCCACATTCAGGAACACCAATCAGGGATGATGGGTTAGGAAGGTTTCTCAGACACAGACCTCCTCCACGGTAGATCAGCGACTCAAAGTCTTGTTCACTGCAACTGCTAAAAGTGGTGGAACCACTACAGGGTAACAAGATAAATCATTAACAAAAATGCCTGTTCAGACAATCTTTGACAAAACCAGGTGCTTGCTCTTTATAATCTTTTGATAAAAGGACAGTGTTTATGCATGTGAAGTTTACAATAAAATATACACTACTAACAAAAGAAGCATACTGCACTTGGCAGGTTCAACCCTGTGAAAAACAACAGCAACAAAGAGTAAACAATTACGTGGCTGAGGGACCCATGATGCAGCTTTTGGCACAGCAGCCGTCACGGTCGTGATTCATGCCCAAGTTATGACCCACCTCATGGGCCACCACAGTGGAATAATAATTCAGGTTGGTGTTACCGTACTATGAAAAACAAACAAACAACACCCAGTACATTCAGTGCCAATGTTCTCTATAAGTTTATACATTGAACGGTCACTCTAATAGTCGCGCATTTAGAATTGTATGCACTTCAAATGCAACACTTCCACCTTAACATCTGTGTTTATGGAGCTCAAATGTTTCGGTTTTTGGTGAAATGGTCATAAATATATACATTCAATTATATTTTTATAATTGAGGTCATTGTTAAAGGTGATGTTGTACAGGACTACATTATATTTAGAGGTGTTCCTAATATTCTGGGCCTCTCATGTATGTAGCTGGGGAGGACAAAAATACAGAGACAATACAGTACATACAACTGTACAAGTGTGACTATTAGAGTGGCTAGTCAGCGTAAATGTTTGTAGTTAATGGTCAATATTACTAAAGGTAAAAACAAAAACTAAAAAGAGATTTGGCTTCAAAGGTGTGGCTCAAAGTGTTGGTAGCCCTACACCTAATTGAAACAATGCTCCATTCTTTGTGAAGTGCTGAAACTTTGCCATGTTGTTGGATTTACTACAGAGGTGTAATTATTTTTAGTTGATCAGGAAGTTAAAATGATAAATTTGTTGGCAGTATAAGTGTTGGAATCTATGGAATTCAGTAACTCACTCACTCACTCACTCACTCACTCACTCACTCTCACACACACACACACACACACACACACACACACACACACACAGCTTCGTCATCATAGAGATTAGGAATTTTATGTTCTGGTCTAACCTGTTTGATTCCTGTGTTATTCAGTGCCTGTCGCAATGAGCTGCATGTACAAAATGTTCTGTTGATAATTCAAACAGTGTCTGTTTCATGATGCTAAAGCACCAAGTTGTCAGCTGATGCTATAAGTTAAAAAGGAGTTTAACTAACCACGCTAATTCCTGCAGAGGTTGATGCAGAGCAGGCAGTGCCCACGAAGGCCATACCTAATACTCCTCCTAAGTATGGATCTTTCTGACCACTGTGGAACAAAAGAGAAGTTACACACTTCACTTTACATTTCAAAAGAATTTAAAACATGTGTCTTGTATCAAACATTATGATCTGAAGGCATCATATTTCTCAAATCACGACATCATGTCTCAAAAATACAAAGAGCATTACTTACACAACAAGATGACCAACATCATTCCTGATTTTTGGTACCAGATTATCCCTCCTCCAATTGGCAAATCTGCCCAACACGTCTCCTGCTGAGCCGCTCACATCAAAAGGATTAGCAGTCTTAAACGTAACTAGGCCCACTAGCATAGCACGGATGTTCAGCTGTTTGTAATACTAGAACAGAACAGAAATTAAAAGCAGAAGGTGTTTAAAGTATAGTACAGCCCTATCACAAAACAACAAAAGAACTCAGTAACATTTAGAGGTTTATTTTACTAACTTAATATCTCACCCCATCCAGCAAGTTAGCCAGTTCTGCCATCTCCTTTCGTATTGCCTCATCATCTTGCTTCATAATATTGTACTGTTAATTAATAAAATGAACACAGTAATAAGAGAGACACTTATTAGGTTCATAACAGTTATGCTAGAAAGATGAGAACCTTTGGCACTACATTGCACAGTACAGAAAAAGCACTTCAGTATTTGTCAGAAAAGCACATTCCTTATAACACTGATCAGTCAGTGAGTAGGGTATAAAATGCACTTACATGCACCTAGTCTAAAAAAAAAAAAAAAACATGTTGCACCCAAATCGCTTTTATTTCCACATCAGTAAATTATATGACAGAAATACACACTCACCCTGAGATTATCAACAACCAGCACCAACTCAATGTAATTAGTCAGAGGTAAATTGCGCTTCACCTGTTGAAACAAACAGTAAATAAGAATGTCACCCACTATCCATTTTAAAACCCGTTGATATTGTAAATATTTGATTAAGCAGATGTAGTGAACATCTTAACCCGCAGCAGGGAAGACAGTGATCGGCCAGGGTCAAACGATTTATTGCTGTGAATTGATTCACCCTCATTGATGACCCCACAGGTGGCAGGCTCAGACTTAATGTCCGTCAGTAGGTATAGAAGGTGTTCATTAGTGGTAGAACCTGGCAAAGGCTCAAGTCCATAGGTCTCATCTCCAAGGATGATCACACCTCTACAGAAAACAAGGGTAGGGCAAATGCAGCACTAGACAAAAGCCAAAGCTTTGACAACATACTTCCTGAGGAACAGAGGTTCATAGAAAATGATCCAACTTTAATTTGAGTCCTGTCAGTATCACACTTTACTGAGAATATTTCCAATAACTGATAAAGCAGTATACAATGGTGGCAAATATATGGAAAATCTCATACACAACAGACAACATAATGTTCAGTGCAATGGACAGACAAAAAAATCACTTTAGTGAAGTTCAGGAACTCATTAAGTGACTTTGTTGTTCTGAATCATTCATTTGCATATCATATCATAACCATGACACAGAGCCCAGCTCTAGCTCTGTTCACTTAATCACTCAAAGGAAGAAATCAAAATAGCAAGAGGTGTTCAAACCTGAGACCGGAGCATGTGCTGAGTGCTACCACTGAATTTTCATATCCCTCCACCTGTCCATGGTAATAACAATCAACCTGGAAAAGAGAAGCAAAAACAGATTCAAGGGTGAAGTCTTTTTTAAAAATCCAAATAAATAAACCAGAATGAGGAAGCATTGACTCACAGGCTGTTGGGGATAGGACAACTTGTGGAAACCAGTGGTGTCAAATGAATACTGAACAAAGTTTGGGTGTAAAAAGTCTCTGCCAAGAAAAGAAATTTTACATGTGATATCTGATCTGAAGCATAAGCAAGGACTTAAAATACTGTCAGCATGACAATACTGAAAATATGCCAGTATGCATACCTGTTCTTTTTTAGATGAATGTGGTGCATTTCATTTTTTATGTTGAATGCATATGTCATCTCCTCTTCATGATTCTGAAATGTGTAAAAACAAGAATGCACTCTTCATATTGCCATATTAAAATATACCAGTTAAAATGGGTATGCAGTCAGGGTTGTACCTACCTCCTTTGCCTGTGGTGGTCTTCTCTCCTCAATCTCCTGAGGAATTACAATGGAGTACTTGGAAAGTTTTGTTGTAAACTCCTTGAAACTGCCTAGAAAAAGGCAAATACACAGAGAAACTGTAAATATTGTGAAATTATTCTGTAGTTAACTTGTGGTACAGTCTATCTTCTCAGGACACTATCATTAACAAAGCACACACAAAATATATTTTAAGAAGTATTTAGGTCTCACTCCTCCTAGTAGGCATATCTATTCTTAGGATCCAATTATAGGCAATCCCTTAAAATAACAAAAAATACAGCCTATAAAAGCTGAGAATTCCATCTCTTCTGGTGACAAAAAACAGGACTGAACTGAAAAAGGTCATTTTGTAGTTCACAGTAAAAAAAAAATAAGAATCCAAGCTCAGTTTTTCTGCCCCATCTAAGGACATGACGTATAACCCAAACCCTCACCTGTGCTCTCGATGCCAAAAATGTAACACCACAGGAAAACAGCAAATAAAATGTATTTCCTGAACATGATCCTGGCTGAAGTATAAAATACGTTTTCATGGGTAGTTCTTCTTTCCTTTGTTTTCTGGCGTTATATTTTCATAAGGCGTTCGCTGTATCAATTTAAAGTGAAGTCTCGTGCCTCTACCACTTCCTGCTAGTCAGTGCGTCATGATGATGGGTGTGGCTAAGAACAGGTGTGCTAGTCAGGTGGAGGCTTAAGAAAAACAAAATGCAAAATTATAGAGTGGGCGGTAAAGCACCTTAAAGTTGGTTGTCACCTGTTATTAAACGAGGAGGAGAAGGAGGCATGAGTGACAGGACTACACATATATGGAAGAGGATGTCCGAAACGCTGTTTTACTTTACTACTAAAATTGTCTCAAGTGGATGAGTTTCTTCTTTTATTTCTATATTAATCGGCGTTGGTACTATAAAGACATATGTATGTAGACATATGTAGCTCTTAACGTTAACATAAGCTTTGTTTTGGTGGTGCCCGAATCAAACTTCCTGCGTTATTACAAGAATCAATCGATCCTTACTGCTATAAACGCAAAGAACAGCATTATAGGGGAGCTATCGCGTTATTTAGTATTCGTTACGTCACTTGGGGGCGGAAGTGTTTTGGCGTGGAATAGAAAGTACATTTGTTGGAAGATATTTCTACTACAACGCTTCTCCTTTATGCAGTACCTGCTCAGAATACTGGCGTTTGTCTAAACCCGTTTATATATACATTTTATTAAAAAAAAAACAACAACAACAACAAACGGTGTAGTTTATGTCTAGTTAACGTCGTGTCTGCGCAGTCTTGGCTAACCCCTAAATCCGAGTGCACCGAATAATATCAAATACACAAAAACATTGTTGCCATTTAACCAAGTGTTTAGTTGACCTTGCTTAGTCAGTTAGCATTATGTCTCTGACTAAAGCACTTAAATAGACTGTTATGTATGGCTGCAATCCATATTTTAAGATTTGCTCACCAAACATTAAAGAAAGGACTGTCCAAGAAACAGGTCTGGACAAAACCAACTATCTTCTCTTTCGTGGTGACAGCTCAAGTTGTATTGTGAGTATACATTTAATAACTTTTCATATTTAAACTGCCAAGACGCAACTCTTTCTCAATAAAAAAAATAAATAATATGAACATGTGTTTCTTTCTCCTTTTGTAGAATGGCTGAATTGACAGACTTTGAACCTTTAGCAAAGAGACTCAGGGTTGAAACCAGTGCCTCAGGGTCTCCTCCGTCTTCTCTCCAAGGTAATTTATTTAAATAATATCTTTATGTCAGAATACGTATTAAGTTAGGTTTTGGTTTAAGTTTAGTATCTCCCCCTTAGTATAAATATTCTTTTTTCCCCCTCAGCTCCATGTTTAAGTAGTAATAGCATAGATAATGAGGCAGTAGATCAAGAAAAGAGACAAAAGAACACTGAGCCCAAGATGGACATACGACCAAAGGCTGGAGCAGGTGGTTTACAAGGAGTAAAGAAGAAAACCTTCCAACAAAAACACAAACAACATAAACAGAGATTCAGAAACAGTCTTGAAGAATGGCTGGTCAAGCCCAGAAAAGACCCTAGTACAGCTGAAGTGTGCCAAAGCCAATATGATGCAAATATGACAGATGGTGGTGGTTTTCAAAGTACTTCAGCTCAGTCTGTGGACTGCCAAAATGTTGAAAAATTTACTGTGTCTGACATGAATCAAGAAGAAGAAGAAACCCAACCCCTGACACCACAAGACCTGGAGGAAGACCAGCCTTTGTCACCAGCATCCAAGGATTCTGCAGGGATTGGTCATAAGCACACTTTGCTCCTCAGTGATGGTGAATTAGAAAAACAAGAAATGGAAAGAAACTCAGCCATCTCAGAGGGTTCTGCCAAACACAATACCAAAATAACAGACTTCTTCTCAAGGACCTCATCACCAAGTTTATCTAGGAGATTGACCAGGCCAGACAAGCATCCAGAGAAACAAGATGCAGACAAGGAAACTACCTCTGCTGATGTCAAGACTAAAGTCAAATGGCTGGGAACGCCAATCAGTGAGTTAAAGAGAATGCCTCAATGTGGCAGGACGCTTCCACGACTGAAGGATGTTCCTGGTCAGCACACTGTGATGATAAGGGTTTGAGCCATTCTTTTTTTTTGTATTTACAGCACTTAAGTTGGTTATATGATACATCAGTCAAACACATTAATTTCATTGGTTTACATAATGTCCTTGCAGCCTCCATGAGTTAATATCAGAGTCTGTGTAGCATTAAGACTGAGTGAGCACATTGTTTTCACATTTGGTTTCATGAGGTTTAGAAATCAGAAACACAATTACATTTTTGGAAAGACATTTAACTCAATAAGTTAATGTTATTCATATCGCTGTGTTTTCAGTGTTTGCTGAAGATGTTTTAAGATATTTATTAATCCATATTAAGTTACTAAAGTGTTTTTATATATTAACATATTTTTAAGCTGGATCCACAGTAGCATTTAAAATCTAAAGCATTATCATCCAGCTACATAATCCTTAATATGATGATTATTCTTTGAGTTTCCCACTAATTGACCCCCCCCTCTCAATACAACTATTTAGTTTGCACACAGTGTATTAATGCCATTTATTTTCATCTACTTCCATTGACAGACAGACCTTCTTCAGCATGATAAAGTTCCTGTTCCATATCCTGCCAAGTTTGTGGATACCTGGGATGATGTCCATGTCAAAAAGCCTTTTTCCAGTAGTAACCTTTTTCCTGTAAAAGATCAGGTAATGGTTCAGGTGCTTATAGACCTGTCAGTATAAAAACTGTTGGAGTCATAGACTATGTTATAAAGATTATTATTCATGTAAAAAGTGGAATCACATTACAGTATATGCCTGACTGCATGTTATAGACTGAAGGTGATAGGATGAACACTACAGTATGTCCAGGCTGGTGTTATGTTTTAAGCATTTTTTCATGTTGTTTATATGTTTGTGTGTCAAATCTATAGTTGAGACACAGTGGGAAGGAAATGACTGTGTAAATGATGAGACACAATACTATTAAATTAATGGATTAAATCACTGCAAGAAACAGGCAAAATTATTAATTATTGAACAAAAAATGCTAGGCTGAGTTCACCCTACAGAGATATAATGAAACTTGTGCTTTCACAGGAAACACAAGAACGACAGAATAAGAGTCGGTGGGAGTTGATCAAGAAAGCATTAAGCAAGAAATTCACAAGTCCTTGTGAGCTGAAGGCAAGTTTCATGTCTGCATCATTTTAATAGCAAGACCTTAATGTATCTGACTTTGTGCACACTGCGCTGTTGCTGTTGTTACCAGGCTGTACCACAAGATGGCACCATAAGCTCAGAAACAGAGGAACACGGCAGTGCACTCAGAATTCTGATATTGGTTTTTGTTGTTGTTGTTGTTGTTGTTGTTTAATACACATATGTAGTAATTCTGGCATAAAATGTCAATTCAGACTGATTTAGATTGTTTGTTTGTTTTCAAAATAATTATTGAATTTGTGTTTTACAGAATGCAATATTGAAATACAGTGCCTCCCAGGCCAAGAAATGGGACTTCACAGCCTTAGAGTTGTACTGCACTAAGGTAAGCAATATACATATCTGTTGTTATTACTGATCTTTTTATGAGTTTCACTGAACCGGGAAGCCACTGGAGGTTCTTTTGTTCCAAGAAAATTATTTTTTTGGAAGAGTCATTGAATTAATGCTAGCATGTAGATGTACTGTAAACACAGATGAGCACATGTGTTGAAGATGTTAAAGGATTAACTGGAGCCTTATGAAATGTTAGCTGCCCATTCATGACACTTAATGCCCTGCAGATGACGTCTTATAACGGTTCTCGCAGAGCTCATGTCAAAGAAAGTCCTGTTGGTTCATTAGTTAGTCATGGTAATATCTTCAGTTTTTGTAAGAGGCAGTGATATAGATGTTACATTTGACACTAAATTAGTTTTATCTTGGTACAGAATATAGAATTAGTGAGAAATATCTATTTTTAAAGTAATTATTTGGGTATGTCTGGGATAAAATGTTAATAGATTTTGTGGAAAGGTTTGTTCTTTATGGTTTCAACACATTCTCGAGCATCATGTGTTTGTGAGTGCACTCCTTATGTTTTTGCAGCCTTACATCAATACATTACAGATTCACCAGACTTGCTCAGAGTTGGTCAAAAGAATGTGATTTCATTTGCACATATTTAGTCTTCATACTCTCTGGCTGTGTGGAGTTCTGACCCTCAGATAATAAGGTTGTATATTAAAGGTGGTGTTTATGTGATTTTTATTTATTTATTTATTTTTTACTGTCCCCATCTAAGTCATTTCTTTACCAGCCAAGGGGAAAAATGGGTCTGTGTTTCATCATGATGGCCAGAGCACTGTCGGTTCACTGGTCATTGCTCAGAGTTGTCAGTGTCTTCTCCAGCCTGGTTTGGAGGCCATCCATCATCTGTTGTCTTGATGCACTCTGCGTCATCCTGTGTACAAAATCAAGGAGGGCTGTACTACTGTCTAGCTCACAAAGGAGATGGGAATATTCTGTCTGGAGAGATGGGCTGCATTGCGATATGAGCGTTTCATATAGGCTAAGACATACAGAACCTGTAAGAGAGACAAATAATGGGCTTTATTTTCCTGATAGTAAGGGAACACTCATCCACTTTGTAGAATACATCACCTGTGTGTTTTTATGATATCTCATATTTCAGGAAAAATGTACATTTAATATCAGTATGTCAAATGCATTTGATATTTTACACAATATCAATAATGGATTTCATGCAAGAGAATGTTGTAGCCCTTCAGAGGTACAGTGGGAGTCTGGAGAAATAATTACATTTTTTGCCAAAAGGTCAAGTTTAGTTACTTGTCAGAAATAAATATTACACCCTACTGAATGCTTCATACTGCTGAAACAATTGTGTGCCATATGTACGTCATAAATCATATTAGAATGGGAATTTTATTAGATAAAATAGGAATATGTTGAGAAACTCTAACCACAGGCCAAACTTTGCTGTTGCTGCTGGATTTGAATTGCGCCACAACTACTGAATTGGCAAAACAAGATTTTTGCCAAGCTGCAGAATGTCAGGTACCATCAAACAAAACAGCACAGAGTTGGATTTTTAGTGAGGTGCCACATAAATTGTAGCTAATAACATTTGCTCACACAATTTGTTGGTTGATGTGAAGATTGTATATCAGCATCACTGATTGATTCTTCAGTAAACGACAGTACTGGATGGTTTCCTATTTTACTGAAAAATTGTGAAAATGACAAGTTATAATTTCACGGTTATGTTTCATATTAGATGCAAGTAACATTTTAGAACCACATACAGTATGTCACTGTACTGTAGCTCACACAGATATAATTAATCTTGTTTATTCACTGCTATTTCAAAATTGACATGCACTGTTCATCCTAACCAAGACTGTTTACTGCATCTGTGACTTACAGAATCCATTCACAGCTTAATTTAATAATCATCTGTATTTTTATAGTCTAATTTGCTGAAGGGGCAGCAGCAATTTTGCTGCCTGCACCATATCAGGTGTCTATTGATAGAAATATGCTCATAAAAATCACAGAATTTAGAAGTTTAACAGCTGATTGCACATGATCCTAAATGTTTATTTCCATTGCAACAAACAATTAAAATGGGGGCAAATGGGGGCAGTGAACCTCTTTTTTTATTTTTACTTTTCCCCTGGAGATGCTAGATTAGAGACACTGTAGCAGGATGATTTTGAATGTCAGAGAAAAGTAGACATGAATGGCATGGAGTGACAGGCCCAGCACCTTCATTGAATATTCATCTCTGCACGCACACCTTATGAATAACTGAAAAGCTGTTGACGGACAGCGTCACTTTTGTTCATTTCTCTGCCCCAACCAGTGCTGTATTTACGGTTATGAGCATGCAAGTGTTTTATTTTTACAGGTGATACGTAGTCAGGCAGATTGCTTTATTGCTTTGGACCTGTGGGGAATAAAACAGAAGCGTGAGACACTGTGTTAAATCTATATGGGAGCTCTGGTTTCTCACTGCCCACACCCCTTCATCTTGATTACTTTGTCAGTTTGGTGTGATGTACAGACCTGTATTAAGACATAAAGAGAGTTGGTTCAGTTGATTTGATGCACTGTCTTCTGTTGATTTAAAGAACCTGACCTGATACTACCTCAGCTATATCCACCGTCTCACCCTGTCAACTGCCTTCATTTGTTATGCCCATAGGAGCAGTTTATGATGTCACCCAGGTCATTACTTATGACAGTGTTTAGTCAGGCTTCCTTTGCCGTAATATAAATGTCCTAGGCCAAGTCACCAGACAAGGCTCTTTGTCTTTGTCCTGGGCACCCACTGTCCTTTCTGTTTCACACGTTTGGTCATTGGCATCTCCTTCCGGAAGAGGAGTTTAAACGACCGGTATGGTTGTGCAACCTTGATGAAATTGCTTTGAGAATGATCATTCTGACATTTCCAGCTATATAGATTTTCATTTTTCACTAGGTTTGCATCTGTGTACATAATACTGTAGGTCAGCAGTGTAATTTTACTCAATTTAAAAAGATGTTATTGCCCTTCAGTGTTCTGTATTGCATATATTTTATGAGTATTGTGTTTGCCTTATCATGGTACATAAACATTTTGTCTTAAACTAATCAGACCAAATAACTAATAATGCCACAGCTGAGTTTTGTGGTAAAACTGCAAACATAAACAGATCTCTTGCTTTCTCCAAGGTCCTGGAGTGTGATGCTGCTGAACATCTGTTTGGCTCCCTGCTGCCAGACATGGTGCAATTAGCGCTGAGAGGATCTGAGCTCTGTACCAAGGTAACAGCCAGCACTAACCAACTGACACAGTAGATGACCACTGCAGGTTGATTCCAGAGGTCACAACATGACAAATCTTATGAAATGGCATTAAAAAAATGTGTGGTGAAGGCTCATGGCAGTTGTTACTGGTCAGATGTTTTATAGTCCTCTTCTTGTTCCTTGGTGGGAGGATGATGTAGCTATGTGTGTTTGTAGCTGAAGAAGTCTCATTAAAATGTTTTTGTGTTCATTTGTCCATGCAGCCAGTCCTCTAATTTTAATTCTGCATCTCTGTTAAATTTATTTCTACTTTGATTAATTTGTTGCTTAAAGTAAAAACATTAGCCAAGCAAACAGGAAAATCAAGTAGCTAGTCTAAACCTAATCTATTGCAAGTGTCCTTGATCGTGTTAAACTGTCTGAGGAAGAAATTAACATTAAAATAAACAGATTCTCATATGTCTGCCCTACAACAACATAAAAAGCTATTAAAACGCTTGGTAATTCAAACAAATGTGCTGATTTTTTACTGGAGACTTGCCCATCGTTATTGTTGTATTTATTATTGCTGTGTTTCTGTATTTATCATTTTGGCGATGCGTCTCGTAGCCAGTTAGTCTTTAGTCTTGCTGCAACAGACTCTCCCTGTTTTCATTACCTAATTGCTTACACAGATGCAGTGTTTACTTATAAACCCATAACCTTTTAATGGAAATATGGATCACCTGTAAACATGAATAGACCTTGACAGTAATTATGATGGTTGATTAAAGAAGCACAGAATGATGTAAAATTATTGCATTTGTGCAGCACACTTGGTTGTCTCGTTTGGCAAATTGACAGTCAAATTAGTTTGACCTTCCTCAGTTGCACTTCTGTTCCTCCTCTAGCCGATACCCCTCCTTAAAAAAGGAATGAACCACTCCATCACCATGTCTCAGGAGCAGGTGGCTTGTCTGCTCGCCAACGCCTTCTTCTGCACTTTTCCACAACGCAGCTCCAGAAAAACGCCGTACCACAACTACCCAGACATCAACTTCTTCAGGTAATATAGGGATGTGGTATATTGACTCGTGATGTTTAAAGTTATATAATCTGGGTGTACATGATGCTGCTGTGACAACCAGCTTGATTTCCACGAGGGGCCACTACTATATAAGCTTTCCTCACTAATCATTTTATATACTGCCTATAAAGCTGTCCAGCATTTAGCCTACGTTGTATGTCAGTTTAATTACAGACAGGGCGACCAGTTTGAGTTATTTACACACTGATTTTTAGAAACATTTTACTTTTAAAAATATCATAGTGTAATCATATTTAGCAGAGAGCTATATATGCTCTGCCTACCAGAGCCAAATGTTTCAATTTATTTTTATTGTTTACAGAATAAATTATTTACCACAGCTGTGCATTCTGTTATGAAAAGCACATAGTCCTTTGTACAGCATATTGACAAAAATGCAGCTACATTGCATTATATTCCTTTTTTTTTTTTTTTTTTTTAAAGGGGGCACTAAGACTTCTGCTCTTTAAAGGCTTCACTGTATGAATGACCTGAAGGGAACAGGCAGCAAAAGAAACACAGAAGAGACTATTCATATGGGATACTATCTGTCATTTTATGGCTCTAGCATAAAAAATATAAATATCTTTATTTATTTACAGTTCAGAACCAACCCTTTTCCTTCACAATGGTCAAAAATGACAAATAGGCTGGTTTTTTTTTTTTTTTTTTTTAACCCCGGCAAACTTTCACTGTGGAGATCTGTGGCGTAATACAGAATCGGTCTGGAGATCAGTGCTCGGTCATGGCCCACATCTCTGCTGGCATCACAGCATAATTACATAAATGGAAGAAGGAATTCGATTAACGATGACTCAGAAGACTGCTTTTGAAGGTGGAGAAGGCCATTGGTTATTGAGCAGAGTGCTGCAGGAGTTCAATCGCCTCAGTGTTTCATTCACATAAAGGTTTTGCTGTAATTTGAAAGAGAAGCCAGTGTCATCTTTTTATCCTGCTGCCAAAACAGATTTCTTAATTACATTGAATAAGACAGTCGTCTCTTGGCTTTAACAGTTTTATTTTAAAGTATTTTCCAGCAAGCTTTAGTTTTTTACTATGAAGTGTTTGAACAGAGTTTCCCATTAAAAAAAAAAGTTTCCTTTTGCTGGTGATGCAGAAACTCAGCTGTTGTACCTACTGTAGTTTAGTCAGTTACACCCTTTTCCTGTTACATCATAGCTTTTTGCACATCTCTGGAGAATATGTCAATGTTATATAATTGTGTATTACTATTATGTTCCCCAAAGACCATACTGTGATTTGTTAGTAAAAAGCTGCTCTCACTAGTGGCTAGCTTATGTCAGAGGCAGTTAGCCCTGAGGACTACATGGCACACAATTGTTTCTAGGGCCACACTGACAAAAGAGAAATGATTGTAGGGGTTGACTTCGATGAATGAGTTTCTCAGCCCCTCAGGGGACCTCAGTACATCAGACTTTTGTCGTTCTTTCATTTTGCTCACAAGTTTTTCGTTTTATTTTGGCACGTGAGGCGAGCTGTGGGGCTCTTCATAGAGTTTACTTGAGAGATGAAGGGCTTAATGCTGAAATGGATTCAGACTCACCCATTGCACTTCACTACAAGCAGCTTTGTGTGCATTTGTGCATTACCTTTTCAGGGGTATTGACCTTTTTGCCTCCTGAGGACTTTGTTGCTTAAAAGGGACACAGGGCTTCTTAATGTATCCCCAAGGAAGGAGCCCTGTTTCCCTCTGTGTTCCTTTTTGTGTGCGAGTGCTGTGAAGTGACTCTGTGATGGCAAGCCTGGGGCAACTCCACTGTCGTAACAGTGAAGGAGCTCCTACATAATCGCCTAGTGACTGAAAGGGAAGCTGAGTGAGAAATGAACATATCAAAAGTTTAAGCATGACTGAACTTTTGATTTGATTTGATTTGATTTGATTTATTCTTTCAAGCATGTAAAGACAGTTGATATGTCAACACACATAATTTTACACATATCCAACAAATGCTAATCCAATATCAATTTGCTTATACCTAGTACATGCTTGAATGGAGTAGGAAGAAGTCAGACTTATCCAGTCCTACCCCATGACATCATCTTACATCATTGGTTTGCAAGCAGTATCTCTACATAAATAATTCTCTTCTACACCACACAAGTAATATACTAAAAAAATATAACAGTGTTAACATTCTTACATAATTACAT